TTGTTAAACATTTTTAATGAGAAAAAACTTTGTTTTCCTAGTTTTGGAATCTCGAAATCACGAAATGTCAGGAAAACAGAAAACATGTTCAAAGTATTGTGGGAAATTCATAGGGTGGCATGTGTGTGCACATGTCATTGGGTAAATCCTGTGATTATGTACTTGTATCCCATCATCTGAAACGACTTTAGATGTTATAGCATTGTGTGATGATATTTTATCATCTGCCCCCAACCTTGCTCCCTTTCCATTGCCCATGAATTTGGATTAAGGACGTATTTCAAATGAGTAAAACTAGCTTGATGTAGCTTACAGCCCTTAGTGCCTAAAGAAAGTCAAAGTGATTTCAGCTAGAGACTGAAAGTAATTGCTAACAAATAGGAAGACTATATCCAATCTGACAGTATTGCATCGGGAAAGCTGTATCAGAATATAATCAATTCTTGGTTTTGGGTTTGTGTCAAAGAGATGAAAATGTAGACACTAGCTCAGGGGTGAAATTCAAAATTTTTCCCTACCAGCTCTGTGGTCATGGCTGTGGACGTGGCTTGGTATACTTGGTATAATAGTAATAGCAACCAGGGGTGATTATTTACCGATTCATCCCTACCACCTCTCCCGAAGTGGCCCAAAGTGGTTGAATTTCACCCCTGCACTAGCTTATCCACCATTTTGTAGCAGTTAATACATGTCAAGAATTAACCTGTTTGAGGCTAAATTCTAAATGAAGAGATCCAGGCATCCAAAAAAAATTGACTCCTCAATATTTTCCAGAGCTTGGAAAGGGACAGAGACAATAGAAAGTGAAAATTGGGAAATGGGGACAGTCAGAATATTGGGAAATAAAAAAGAGGGGATAATTGAGCAGAGAATGGCTGGGACTTTGAAGACTGGAGGCCAGTTTCATCCCAAACCCCTCATTCATGACATTCTATTTGTTACAGCCTGTATAATATTAACTGGTTCTTTCATATCTGGATAATTTAATTTATTTTATTAATAATTAATTTATATGGGCACTTTTTTTACAGATTAGGAAATGCAGTGACTTTAGTCCTATCTTATTATTTGATCATAGAAATAAAACACCTGTTAATTACTTTTTTTTTTTTTTTGCAACAATGCTGCCCTACATCTGCTGATGGAGCAGCCTGGAATTTAGCTTGATGCATTACTAACTGCTTCCCACGGATGCAAATGCAGTGCACATAAAATCATTCCCTTTCTGGTGCACCAGACCTCTTGAATAATTCAGAGCATAAAGCATAACCTAATGCTTTTATTGTGCCAGGGGACAATGATTTATTTTCATGGAGATTATCTGAAAGTTGTCTCCCCAATTTGCTGCTTCGAGTCTTTCCAGTAATACAAGGCACTTATCAAATTAGAATTCTTAGGGAATAGAATGACATATACCAGTCTATATTTAGCAACAACAACCAAAAAGCAGCTGAATCAGCTGACTGGAAGCCACTACCCTGATGTTCAGTCTTGGTTTAGACAGCACATATTCAGTACTGAAGTGAAGGAGAACAGACAGTGCAGGAGAGACACTGAATCTGGAGACTTGCAAACAGCCAAGCTGTATTTGAAGCAAACACATCCAGGTAAGAAAGAGGGCATTTCAGTGGAATCTGTGCTCAAATTCTCGTAACTGTAGGGATTGGAATGGAGAGCTGAAGGAGAAGAAATACCAAGTTGAAGTATGGACACTAATGCCACTTGGATGTGCTGGCTATTTGTGTGGCCAAGGCAGGAAGAAACCCAAGGGAAGCAGATTATTTGAGGAGCTCCAGTGCTTGCGTGCCTTCACTCTCTTTGCCCTATTTGTCAGTTCTGTGGATTTCAGAATGGCTTATGATTACGCTTTTTGCTTAATACAGGATGTGGAAAGACCAATTAAGACCGAGTTAGAGCAGTCACGGTGAATGAATGGAAGGGGGTAAAATAAAGCGATGAATAGAACAGACTCAGCTTCTTTTGAATTCAATGTTTTTTACTGCCATATATTATTATTAGTTTTGCTCGTCGGATTATTTCTTCATCACCAAAGACAATGACTAGGTACCAATGAGCATTTTTTAAACTTGGCATTTTTAGTGAAAATTTCCAAACTCTCTCTGTTCTGTCGTAGTTCTGTGTTCTACAAACTCTTGGACCAGAGCAGGTGGGTGACCAAATACCACTGAGATAATAGTCGTGTTAAGCCAGGTATGCCTTTTCTCCAACTCAGCTGGAGAGTCTAAATGGCAAGGACCAAGAGTCATGTCAGTGAATGAATTCTGAAGGTTTCCTAAAAGCAAATGGAGGTTTTCCTTTAAATAACTAAAAAGAAAAAAGAAAGAAATTTTGACAGCATTGGGTCAAAATTGGGTTTGTGTTCACCTTTGAAGTGTTGAGGGAGTCATTTTCTTCCTCACATGAACATGCTTTGGAAACTGCCTTTTCTCCCTTTCCTTTGTGGCATTTCCTTCTTCTCTTCCCCACTCCCCACCTGAGGCCTTATTAAAGCTGTTTTCTTTAGTTTTGTCATGGCTTCCTTCACTAATAATGCAGACAAAGATTGGGATCTGCCCAGCATGCCCTGAATATCTATCTGTCTTTCTCTTTACTAGAATTTATATCCTGTCCATTGCTGGAGACTTTTATTGGCCCCAGGGCCAAATTAGGCTACTGCTGGCATACCCCTATCCACCCTCTCCCTGGTCATTTTTGACTTGGGCTACCAAAATCAAATATCTGGTATCCACAGGTACATTTGCTCACAGAATAACTGATCTTCCAAAATACTTGATGGTTCTCCCCCAGGCTCCTTAGAAACATCACTTTACTACCTCTTGAAAGAGTTGTAGGTCTTCTGTATAGATATAGATTTAAACAATTCAAGAGAACTGGGTGTTGCTAGTTCTGTCACCCTTAGATGCATTATTTCCATTGCTTTCACTAAGAGGGGCTATTAAATGGCTGTACCTCTTTGTTGTTTTCATTACTTTATGAGGGGGCATCATGTTGTCTATTTTGTGTTATTTTAATGACTTCTCGTTAGACAAGGATCAATCCTGATTGCCTGCTGACCACTTCTATCACTTTGTGCCAGCACTGCCATTCTCTTGAGGCAGGATGTGTCAAGGACAGAAGTTTCTCATAATTATTATATCACTGCATCCCACAGTCTCCTCACTGCCTATGATCAGGCTATTTTTGGAAGTGGGTCTATAGCTTTTTCAGAATGTTAGACTCATGTTATATATCTCCTGGCAGGTTGTTAGGATGGAAATAGGGTTCTACCATACAGGAGCATCAGAGGCATTTCTTCATATTTTTATATGGAATTGGCTTTCAGGAATTATTTTAGAATTTTGAGATGAGGCTTTTATTGTCTGCCTCATTAATGGATTGTTCAATCATGCCATGCCTTTTATCTATCAATGCTAGGAATTGTATGTTCAAAAGCACCTTTGGAAGTATACTTTGATGGCCCTGCTCTGTATTCTTCCTCCTTAGATGATTGAATAGGTTAACATTTCCAGATATTGGCTGCTGGTATTTCTGATTCATACCATACTCATTCCATCCCTAAACTTCGCTCAGCTTTTTCACATATTCTACAATTGCCCACCAGCTATTGAGGTCCCATAATTCCCAGCTAGTATCTCCACATTAAGGAAGGATAATAGATACTCAAAATGAATTCAAATATCCAAGTATTACTTCTAGATAAACAGACAGATTATGTACTAACGAATTGCTTTTTACTCCTAGCAACCACATACATAGATTTTCTCCCTGACAATCTGTCCTTAAGCTGGTCTTCCAAATGTTGCAAGAATGTACTCATTACCATTGTCACTGAGTCCATCCAACTTGCTTCCTGTCATCCTTTTTTCTTTCCTTACATCTTTCTCAGCATTACATCCTTCTCTGGGGAGTTAGATCTTCATATAATATGTTCAAAATAGGATATTTAGAACATAAAAAGTGTTTGATAGAAATAACACCCACTGCCCTATGAATGCTGGTTGACTTTGACGGGGGGAAATAGAAGAGTAGTTAGAAGGAATATTAAAAATAAATAAATTATGAAATGGGTACTGAAATCTGAAATCTGAACAAAGAAGAAATCTGATAAGCAGTATCTGTTTCTTGCTTCTATATTTAAAATACTCTTCATCCTACCTTCATGATTGTTTCTTGGCATAATCCTAAGGAATGAACTCAATTCTATGAAGCCAGAATTAGTTTATCAGTAGGTTAAGAACAACCTACTGTTGAGGGTTTTAGGAAGGAAGGAAGGAAGGAAGGAAGGAAGGAAGGAAGGAAGGAAGGAATAGTTTGTGTGTCAGGTCACTTAAGGGTATTATGGTCAAATCATGAATGGATAAACATTGCTACCTTAAAATGACGAATTTAAAGAATGCATGTGGAACAGAAGCAGGTCATAGGGTACATGCCAGAAACATGGATGGAATTTCTTTTTTACATGCAAAAATATCTTCAACTCTAATGTTCTTTATAGTACCTCCTAATAATAAAATTATTAATAAATAAAGCTTGATAAATCACTTTCAGTCAGTGGCATCACTCAATTGTATAATGGGCCTCTGGTTTGGCTTCTCTAAAAGGTAAAGCATGCAATTGTTAGGTGGGCATGTACTTCAGAAACCTAGTGTCATGGCATCTGCTGAAAAATGTACAAAAATGTTATTATGTCCCCATTGTAATAAAGTTGCTTATCCAGTTTTAAGAGAAATGTTCCTGGAAAACCTTATAAAAGAAATGCATGTTCACATATGATACATACAAAAAAATTAGGCTTTATGGGTAGCCTATAAAAAGCTATCTGTAATAAGCCAAAAAAAGACCTCATATTGAATAAATTTATGTAAAAAAGAGTAAAAATAATAAGACCAAGGCTTATTCGAAATAAAATGTATTTATGCTTGCTGCTTCTATAAGGTTTACATCAATGTAATATATTACTTACAAAATATAATGGTTTCAGTAAATCATTGACATTGGTTAATAATGTCCTATATATTGTTTTCAGTAATGGCTCCTTGGATAAGACTGAGCTTAGCAAAGCCTCTCCCAACCATCAGTGAAGCTTTTGAGGATATTCTAGAAGACATAACAAGCAACACAAATGGTTTTGGAAATGTTTACATGAATCCAGATTCTTGTTCAGTTGAAGACCACTGTCAATCAAACTTCCAACTAGCAAGATCTGCTTTTCTGGGACCTCTGGAGATCAAGTTCCAAGACAAAGAGAGATGCAGAATGCTGCCCAATCGTCAAACAATCTTAAACCTGTCTGAGTCACCAAAAATGGTTTCTAGATGCACTCTTCCTAAAGTCTTGTCATTACAACAGAACAGTTTCATTCATGATTATATCAAAACCTACTCCACTTCAGGCAGGAATGCATTAGAAGACCTGTATGAAGGAGCTCAGAAGACTTGTGGATGGAAATGTTCTGCTGGCAGTGAGAACATAGGAACTGACAGCACACAGTCCAACTTTCACAGCACCTATGTAGTTCCACCTCAAGAAAAAATGAGCAAAAAACAACATGTGACTAGCTTACCAAGATACCCTTCTCCAAGACCATCGCAAAGAGAAAATGGTTGCCAGGAACAAAAATATAGTTGCAATCAAGACAAGGTGCCAGCTTTGGAAAGCAGCTCTGATCCAAACCCTCTTCCTGTTAATAGTAAATCCATCTGGCTGCATCCCACCAGAGAAGCACCCCTGAGTGCCAGGGATTGGCGATCTTCACAAAGAGGGCAGCATAGTTTGAAGACAACAGGATCTTCTGAAAAAGAGCGTCTGAAGTCTTCCACTCATAAACAATCTCTGAAGGGAGAGGCAGATAACAGAAATAGCTGGGTGGAATATTTCCATATTGATAAGAAAAACACAGGTCGTGATTGGATAGCAGAATACCAAAGTGCTTGGAAAGAAGCCAAGGTTAGAGCATGCCTACTCCCTGCCATAGAAGAGTCATAGTTTTCTTTTTATTTAACAGCAACAAAATATATATATATATAAAAAAAATCTTTACTTCCCTGTTGTGAAGAGCATCTGTAGCATTCCTCCTGTTAAAGGCACAGAAATGCTTTATTACAATTCGTGTTCATGGCAGGTAACATTGGGCAAATGACCAGGAAGATGTGTGGATCTTCAGACAATCAAGACAAGAGGAATAAGTAGCAGTGCACCATAGAAGACATAATGAGGGCTCTGTGCCTTAGGCATTCAGATAATAAGCCATAATCATTAAACATGATTCTAATCTCTTGTAATTTTGACTGTGGGAACAGTCATGAGACATTCCAAACATATCCAACTTGAACGTGCTGGAACTGAAGTTATTTGAATTTAGCTATAGAGCACTCCAAAACATAGAACAGAAAAAAAAGGTTTAATATATTAATAGTAGGATAGGACTTATTCTTTTAGATTTTTTTATCATAATCAAGAAGAGAGCCTCAGAGAATCCAGAAGAAAAGATCTTCTATTTCAGAAGAGCACAACAGCTCAGCAAAAGCTCAAAATCAGGAAAAGCAATGTCCCTCCCATCCTGTTGCTTTCTCCCCAGCATCTATATTCAGAGTAACTAAATCTCAAGGCTCCAAAGAGCCACTGATCACATTAGCACTGATCACAGTATCTGCCTTGATTTATTTCCTTCCCTTTTAATTCCAGTTAATTGGAAAGCCATCAGTGTACCTTGCTTATCAACACATCCCATATGCTATCTATTGCAAGATTGTTTTGTCTTGATCTCTGGTTTCACCAGAACACTATCGTGGAACATTGGACTATAAGCCAACTCTTACTAGCTTTTATCATCTTTTTCAGAACTTAAATCTCTTTCCTCAGCTTCAATTTCCTAAGAGAAAGTAAGTCCTCATTTGTTTTCTAGGTAGCAATCAAACCACTTTTTAGCAGTCTTCTGCCTATTGGGTCACATTGCTTAATCAAATAAGAAAATATTCTTTTTGGTTTGACTTTTATTATTGTTCTATTTTCATAATGATGAAACTTTCATTGTTATGGCTTTATTTTTGTGTGTGTGTGTTTTTCCAATTGCTTTCCTTTTGATTATTTAGAAATACACAAGTTGCTTGTGCTTATCTAAGAAATAACAGAGGGATTTTAGCTCCTCTTACAGGAAGTCTAGTCATAGGTGGTTGCTTCTTGGCTGAAACAAGTATATTAACCATGTTAAAGGTCACCAATAGCTAATGAAAAATACAGTGCCTTTCAATTAGAGCAGGGCTGTCAAACTCCCAGCCTACAAGCCAGATGCGTCACATGCTGGCCACGCCCATGCCCAATTTAGTGAAGGGGGGGCAAGTCCCAATATGTCATGTGATGCTGCTGTGACGATTGTGACTTTGACACCCCTGAATAAGATCATTCCATTTTTGTCATGAATTTACATTATTTTTTCTCAAGAGTTTTTTGTTACATCATTGCTTTGTGATACATTTTGTTTTATGCATCGTACACTTTGTTCCTGAATCTAGTGTGAATAGGTTAAAATAATTCTACTAAATGAGAAAGACACTTGATATCAAACGATGGTGTGTTTGTAAATTAGCTGCCCAGAAATGGAAGGAAGGAAGGATGGAAAGAAAGAAGGAAAGAAGGAACGAAGGGCTGATTGGTGCATAAAGCCTGACAACTCAGCTCTGCTCTCAGGTGGCTTGCAAAATTCTAGAAACGTTTGCAATGGTCTTTTGCAAGCTAGTATAATCCAGCTCCAGCACATAGCTGTAGTAAACTGAATACTTCTGCCAGAATTCTCTTCCTTTTTGGTAGGGATAATTTTATTTTTTCCTGACATAAATTGAAATCCAACTATCTATAGTTTTGGTATGCTGCATTTTTGCTGGTCAGATGGTGGCATGTCATTTTTTTTCCCAAAGCAAATTGCACTGTTTTCTTGAAATTCACAATAATAAAAATCACAATATTTAATCATTAGTGCACATATGATATCAAGAGACTGCTTTATGTATCATTATATTAAATAGCAATTGTGTCTCAATTCAGTTGTGATGGTCTCCTACTGGTGACTGTAGTATACTAAGCTTTCTTCTTATTGTAGGTAAATGTAATGTGGGCTGAGAATTTGCATGAAATGTATACATACACAACAAATTGTGTATCATTTTAATTAACTGCTGAATATAGTTTGTGGTGTATTATAGCAGGGGTCCCCAACCACCGGTCCCCGGACCGGTACCGGTCCGTGGATCATTTTTTACCAGGCCGCAAAACTTGGGCGCCACCATCTTGTTTCGATGGCGCTTCCGGGTTTTCGGTTGCTTCCGGGTTTTCGGTTGCTTCCGGGTTTTCGGTTGATAAGTGCTTCCGGGTTTTCAGTTGGAAAGAGGCGTTTGGGTGCTCACGCCTTAGTTTCGTCGAAGAGGGGGGGGCTTCAAACAAAGAGCCGTCCTGATGGCGGTAGAGTCTCGCGTTACTCAGGTACCGGTCCGTGGAAGAATAAATAATCATGAAACCAGTCCCTGGTTCAAAAAAGGTTGGGGGCCACTGTATTATAGTATTGAAGGAGATGGGTTAAGAATGGCGAGATCCAGGTCTAAGTCCATTCTTAGCCATGGAAATTCACCGAGGAGTCTCAGCCTAATTTTCCTCACAATTTTTTCTTGTGGGGAAGAAATGAAAGGAGTTCCATTTCAAAGCCACTTTGAGCTCCTGGAGTAAAGGCAACATACATATATAGCCAATAAACAATTAAATATATCCACTGGCTTTCTGAAGATTGAAGTGGAGATGAGGGGAACCATATGCTTTTCATGTTATTCTATATAAATCAGGGGTTGCATGCTGTGTGCTAAAGTTATTCCTTCATGGATCTCCACAAATTTCCATTTTGAGTTTTATTCAGCATCCAGTCATCCTTATTAAGCCCTCCTATTTCCCAGGAGAATTGCATTTTCATCACTATAAAATGCTGTGTTGGTAGTCAGGAAATATCAGACTCAAACAGACAGTAATACAATTCTCTTTCATGTTCACTCAACAACCCATCCTCCTCAGCTACATTAATTGGGGGAAAAACTGTGATACCTATAGTGGTATCACAAAGAAATATCAGCTCACTCTCTATCTGGTAGAGACAGTAGAGGCATTGTTCCTGGTGTATTACTTCAGAAAATCTTTGCAAAAGAATTTGACCACTCAGTACTCAGTGTGAGCTCAGATAAGGAAATTAATTCTTTCTGGAAAGTTTGAGCTATATGAAGAAGTGATTACCAATGCATAGAATTTCTTTCTTCTGCCTCCAGCTAGTCATCACATCAGCTCTGGAAAGTTGGGGAACATTCAATAATGTGAGTTAGAGGATTAACTTTTTGTTAAAGATTTCTTTTTTTAAAAAAAGTCTTGTTTTTAACTGAGAGCTGTATGCAATGAAATTCCACTTTAATGTATGCTGATTAATGAACATTCAAAGTGACAATAAAATTATTCTAAGTCTAAGTTCTAAATCTTAACTCCGTGGAATAGAAATAGAAAGCCAGCCAGAAATAAAGAGAAAGGTTCAATTTTTTCTTCTTCACATTCTGGTTTGCTGTAACTTTAGATTTAAACTGCATGAAAAGTAAGGAAAGTTGACCAATTTATCATCTTTTCATCTTGGATCTGGGCAAATATTGTGTTACATTCTAAAAGCTTCTTAATTCAATTAATAGCTGCATGTATTTATTGTACACATTTGTGGTGAATCAGATGATTGTATGAAGATGGGAATATTTGTTTTTACCCAATGCTCATGCCCTAAAAAATACATGTAGGAATAAATGTTCATTCAAGCTTTTGCTTTAATCAAAAATTAAAGGGAAATGCAAAGTCTGTTCCAACTCATTAAAGTTTGAGAACCTATAGTGAATACCTAGCCCTTATGTTCCTGTCCTATATGGGCTTCAATTGCTGCAAGAGTCCCTAAGAAAGCCTACATTTTCTCATTTGCAGTGCTGTGAATTGTCCAGTGAGGATTTTATCACAAACTGAATGGAGGAGGAAATGCAGATCAATGTTATGTTTTAAAGCAAGGGTCTTCAAACTTGGCAAGTTTAAGACTTGTGGACTTCAACTCCCAGAATTCCTGAGCTAATGTGACTGGAGGAGGAATTTTTGGGAGTTGAAGTCCACAAGTCTTAAAGCTATCAAGTTTGAAGACTCCTGTTTTAAAGCTTCAGCCTAGTGAAGAGAAAATGCTAGGATAATCAGTATAAGATATTTCCAAGTAAGCTTGCCTAGGATAACTGAGAACTAAGCCATATCAGAACTCCAAAGAGATTCATTTAGGAGAATGATGTAATTCTCATGATAAAAGATATTTTGAAAACAACGTCTTGAAAAAGCAGCTAGAATCTATGGCAGCAGCAGAGGGATTACCAACTCATCCATGACCTAATGAAAAGGGTTTTTTTTAAGTGTGTTTGGAATATTTTTCTGCTGGTGTCAACACCAGATGGATAGATAGCCAGTCTTTTTCCCCCTGAACCTGTGATGCACATTTATTGTGAAATATATTCTATGGAGTCCATTGGGCAGCATTCATAAAGACTGGAGTATATATTTGACGTGAGAATGATACTGGAGTAGTGCTAATCTAAACTGACCTTTGGCGCCTTAGAATGGTTTTGCAACAAAGCAGAGCATTCTGGTATTCAAAAGAACTAAGATGCTATTGATAGAGGCACCCTTCAGGATGATTTATTCTTAAATTCCTGTTATTTCAAGAAGATTTTTCTGCCGTGTAAAAGCCACTGAACCATCACAATGTCTCATAGCATCACAGCCTGTGAACCATTATAGCATCTCATGGAACTCATGCTGACTTAGGATAAAAATTAAATAACTGTTTCAGACACACTTATACCTATTGTCCTTCACAGTTAAATTGATATCAAATATCCTTTCAGATGAAAAAGTGACTTGTTTTGTAATATGAAGGTTGGATTTTTTAA